GCTCTTGTTACCCAGGCTGGAGTGCAATGGTGCAATCTCGGCTCACCGCAACCTCCGCCTCCTGGGTTCAGGCAATTCTCCTGCCTCAGCCTCCTGAGTAGCTAGGATTACAGGCACGCGCCACCATGCCCAGCTAATTTTTTTGTATTTTTAGTAGAGACGGGGTTTCACCATGTTGACCAGGATCGTCTCGATCTCCTGACCTCGTGATCCACCCACCTCGGCCTCCCAAAGTGCTGGGATTGCAGGCGTGAGCCACTGCGCCCGGCCTCCCATGGACTTTTTAAACACTTCTCCCAGTGTCTGCATTACTACCCACATGCTTTCTGAACTTGTTATGAAGTCCCATCTCTTCCTCCAAGGTGTCTCAGAAGAAGTACCAGGCCAGTGAATTAATGGTCTGAGTTCCAGCTGCAATCGGACTTTCTTTTCTGAAGGAATAATTCATCTTTTAAAAATTTCAGAAATCAAGAAAGGGCTTCATGATAACTCGTCTTGTTCCTCCCATCTGCTGATTATTCTACATCTGTTTCTGTCTTTGGCCTGATATACCTTTCTAAATTTAGTTTGAGCATTTATTAATCTACACAGAGGCAGGATAGCCATAGATCATGAAACCCTAATAGAACTCCCATGTGTAGCTGGCCACAAATTTACTCACCCAACAATTTGAATGTGCAGAGGAAATGCAATTTTATTATTTTATCTATAACTAATTCTAATCTGCCTTCTGATAGCAGGTGGGAGAATAACTTTCAGTCCTAGCTACATACTTTAAAACTTTAGTGAGATCTGATCACTAAAATAGTTCTTTTTGATAGTGCTCAGTGTCTCAGTGTTCTGATCACTTCCCTGATTCTTCTGTAAGATGGCATCTGGGTATATGGGGTGGGGGTATGTGGCTCATGTGACCTTGTGAAGGGTGGTAAGTTCAGAGACTTTTGGGGCGGTATCTTTGGCATTCCTGATCTCTAGGGTGATGGGGTTTTTTTTGTCTGAAAGCTAGGCACTTGCTGGCTTCTAATGCTAACCATTCTTAGACCTAGCCAGTACTCTTGGGGAGAATTGTCTATTCCTCCCGTTTCAGCACTGGCTTCTTCTTTCTCTCCTGGTAAAATGTCCCACCTGTCTTCTGCTACAGAATCATTTTACCCACTGTGATGGTTAATTTTATGACAGCTTGACTGAGCTAAGAGATACCTATACAGTTGGTAAAACATTATTTCTGGGTGTGTCTGTGAGGACATCTCTGGAAGAGAGAAGAGATTAGCAACTGAGTTGCTACTGACTGAGAAAAGAGGATCTCTCTCACCAAGGTGACTCCCATTGTCCAATCTGTTAAGGGCCTTGTAAAACAAAAAGGTGTAAGGAGGGTGAATTTACTGTCTCTTCTTGAACTGGGGCATCCACCTTCCCCTGCCCTTCAATGTCAAACTTCTGGTTCACAGGCGTTTGGAGTGGGACTGAATTACACCAATGGCTTTCCTGGTTTTCTCCTGCCAGCAGAGAGTAGATTGTTAGACTTCTTGATCTTTATATTTGTTTCCATAATAAATTTCTTCATATCTATACCTCCTATTGGTCTTGCTTCCCTGGTTACCACTAGCCCTGACTAGTACACCCATCACCCATAGACAAGACCAACCACTGGCCGATTGGCTCTCAATTCCACTTTTACCCCAAATGGAACAGAAGGCAACTTCAGATAATCTCAATTCAGGGCCACCTTCAGCCTGACAACACTGCCCTGTCAAACGCAAGGGGAAATCTGTGACTTAAAAACAGAATACCCCTTTTTTCCTTCAAGATTATCTCTGCTTTTCTAATATATTTTCCTTTCTCCAGTCCAAAGACGAGAAAAGAGAATGTGAAGACACACAATGTACATGTCTTCTCTTTTCCTGAGGTTGATGTCTGGGTATATGGGAAGAGCAATATAAATTTTATTTTGTACTTTTTTCATCATGGACTATAATGAACTGATAGGCTCCTATCACATACATGGGGTACCCCACCACCCTACAAGAGAAGTCTTAAAGCCGGATCTTCCAGGAATGACCCAGGCTAAAAGAGAGACAGAGACTAGAAAATCTTCTTCTGAACAAACACTCAAGTTTCACACCTTTTTTTCTAGTTCTGAAATCTTATTTTTTATTAATATCATCCTCATTTTTAGTGGTGGACTCCTTTATAATAGCCCTACTCCCCCAGTAAATGGATGAATGGGCCCAGTAAAGTGAAAGTCAAGTATGTAGAAAGAAAAGGGAAAAAAGGAAGGCATGTTACATTTTAAATTTAAAAAAATTATCTGTTTTATTATAATAAAAATAATTTTGTATCCATCTTCAATACTTTAGCCGCTAACCGTAAGCAACGACTTGTTACTTGATAGTGGCTATCAGTGTGAGCGTGTCACACCAGGGGAATATGTTACAGCAGGTTGTAGTTGAGCTTTGTAAGACCACTTCATAGGCTTCCAGGTTATCCAAGCTCTCATACATGATGCAAAGTTTTAAATAATAAATTGTGTCCAGTGATTTTCCAAAATGCATGAGGAATTGGTGAGTTACTGGAATCTTCAATGCCTCTGAATCATCATTTGGAGCCATAGTTACTATTGTATTGGGTGCAAGTGAAATTTGAAAGTACAGAAGATTGAACTGAAAGAAGGTTTAACCCTGGATACACTCTGCAACTAGTCCTTTTGCCCTTACTCAATTGTTTATGCCACTTGGTTTTCTTCTCACTTCAATTTTTAATTTAAATGTAGGATAAATGTGTCTAATTGAAAGCTCTTGTTGCTTCAGTTCTAGTTAATCAAGATGTTGCTGTAATTCAGATATAAGCATTCTTCTTGTTACAAAGTTTGAAGCAAACCTTCTGTACTTTTCTTATGAAAGCCAGTCAGAGCTATTCAAAATCTGGCTAGCCAATTGAGTAAGCTTGCTTTAAAGCTGTTGAAAGTCTCAGGGCTAGCTCTAGAAAATGTTCTACAGAAAGCTCCATCATCATCTCCCAGCCTTACTATTCAGAATGCTCACTTCCGTGCTGCTTAATTTTAGCCTTTGCAACATTGGCATGGCTAATGGGTCCCCAATAATCTCAGTTTTTCTGCTTGTCTCTGGTTACCATGCCCTGGCTTGAGAGGGGAGCTTGAGGAACAGGGTCAGCTTGGTGCTTCTGACTATTAATTTGATTTTATACATCTTCATTAAAGACAGACTTCAAAAGTCTGGGCTTCCAAAACAGACTTCCTGTTCAAACAGCATTTCCCTTCATGTCTTCAGGCAATCTGACAGGTAGAGCATGGATATGAATTTATTAACCTTCAGAGACTGTGCTGAAATTCTTCCTTCTTCTAAATGTCCCTTGGCAACAAATAAAGAACATACTGGGCCAGGCCAGGCCTATAAGAACTTATTTTAAGCCCACAGACTTTCTGTACTCTAAAAATACCTGAGATTTTGGCTATATGTGGGAAATGAAGATTTCCTTTTGAGACCATCAAATTGGCCAGGTGCAGTGGCTCATGCCTGTAATCCCGGCACTTTGGGAGGCCAACGTGAGTAGATCATTTGAGGTCACGAGTTTGAGACCAGCCTGGCCAACATGGTGAAACCCTGTCTGTACTAAAAATACAAAAAATAGCTGCGCATGGTGGAGTATGCCTGTAATCCCAGCTGTTCTGGAGGCTGAGGCAAGAGAATTGCTTGAAACTGGGAGAAGGAGGCTGCAGTGAGCCAAGATTGTGCCACAGCACTCCAGCCTGGGTGACAGAGTGAGACTCTGTCTCCAACAAAAAAAACCCATAAACAAACAAACAAACAAACAAAACTCCATTGAATTTGGTATGGACACTCTCTTTCTTGACAACCACCTACTTTAGCCATCATTCACTCGGATGGAAACAACAATATCTTATTTGTAATGTGCAGACATATGATGTATTTCTAATAGGGAGTAAATTTCTATTATTTATTTCCTTTTATAAATATTGAAATCATTCAATAAATAGTTTTTGAATGCCAACTCTATGCCAATACAGATTCTAGGTCAATGGTTCTCCAACTTTTTGATTACAGAATTCTGTTACACCTTTAAAAGTTATTGAGGATTTGGTTGCTCTGCCCATAAAGTAGCTATTCTTTTATTATTTTTTCTTAATAAACTAGAAAAAAATTATTGAGGACCTCAAAGGATTTTGTTTATGTATTGTGTTTATTATTGTATCAAAATTTATTAATTTTGAAATTAAAACTAAGAAATTAAAATATTCATTGGTTGATTTAAAAATAATAAACTATGTATTAATACAAATATGAATTATGAATATAAAATTGCTTTATTTTTCAAAACAAAAAATAGTGAAAAGAGTACAATTGTTTTACATTTTTTGTTTTTGCAGATTTCTTTAGTATCTGGTTTCACCTGGAATCTGAATTCTCATACTCTACATCCAATCTGTGGTGATACGTGTTCTGGTTCAAGCATATAAAGTAAATCCAGGCTCACATAGTTACATAGCTGGGAAGAGGAAAATCTTTTAATAGTCTTTTCAGATAATTGTGGATAATCTTCGTTGATGCTAAAATAAAATCCAAGTGGCTGTAAGTTCTTAAAAGTCAGTTGCAAGGAGGAATTTGAAACCATATCAATCAACTTTTCAGGCTCTTATATTAAAATTCATTGGTCTATCTTGAACTTGGAATAAATCCTTTAACCATGAATAATTTTGTAACCTCATGCATTGTTCACTTGGCAAATATTGGTTTACTGAGCAATTAACATAGTCTAAAAGTTGACACATTACATTATACTATATAGACTAGATCCAAAAATAGCATGTATTTGTTAACATCACCTATCAATTTCAACAGAAACATCTCTTAAGTACTAGGAAGCTTCCAAACTGATGGTGGCAGATACAAGTTTTCCAAAATTCTAACGTTCACTTGAAATTCTGAATTTTATCAAGCGATATTTTTTCTTTACTTTTGAAGAAATGTCTGCCAGATATGCAAATCTAAGTAACCATTGCTTGACTGGTGGTCATTCTTTCAAGTAACAATGGTGTTTCATGAAAAATGTAGCTAGTGCAGCTAGCTCACAATCAATCAAACAAATGCTTTTCCTCAAGACAATTATTATACTTTGTGATGCGGGGAGGCATATTTTAAGTGTGCTTTTCTATTTATCACATGGCACATCAAAAGAATGTGATCCCACTTTCAAAACAATAATTTTTACTGCTTCATCATGGGCATTCTTTAGTAAAACTTTTTTTTTTTTTTTCCCTGAAAGGGTGTGAAAAAGAAGAATGCAATGACCACTTGAGTAGTTTGGTGCCACTGCTTGATTTATACTAATGAGTCAGTAGTTTTGCCTACTGTTGTATTTACACAGCCATTGCAAATGTCAACACAGTGAAAAAGGCATTTAAGGTCTTAGTATTATTATGAAAATAATTTGATCAGGCGTCTACAGACCACTTTGAGAAGTGCTGTTCAAGGCACTGAGAATACTCACAAAGTCCCTGCTTTAATAATGTGGGGATTGCATTATTCTGGAGATCAAGCACTGGGGGAGAACACTACAGACAAATACACAAATAAATAAACAAGCTAACATAGAGTACTAAGTGCTGTGATGAATATATAGCAGAGTCGTATCGTAGAGAAGAAAGACAAGAACCAAGGGATTACTTTATACTGCATGGTCAGGAAAGCATCTCTGAGGCAATGATACTGGAGCTGAGCCATAACTGGTTAGAACCAGTCATGTAAATATCTGGAGCAGGAAATTCCAGACAGAGTGAAGAAATGGTGTAAATTCCTGAGATGGGATTGTGCTGGGCATGTCTGCGGAAGGCAAAGGAGGCTAATGTGATTGAAGCCAACCAATGAGGTGCCTAAAGGCAGGAGATGTGTTTATGGAGGTCACATCCATTTATAGGCTGTCTTAATCCATTCAACTTTTTATAACAAGATACCTTAGCCTAGGTAGTTTTTAAACAACAGAAATTATTTTTCACAGTTCTTGAGGCTAGGAAGTCCCAGATCAAGGTGCCCGGCAGATTCAGTGTCTGGTGAGGGCTTGCTCTCTGTTTCAATGATGGCACCTTCTAGCTGTGTCCTCACATGGTGGGAGGGGTGAACAAGCTCCCTCAGATCTCCTTTATAAGGGCACTAATTCCACTCATGAAGGTGAACCCTCATGACCTAATCACCTTCCAAAGTCCCCATCATCTAATACTATCATCACTTTGGGGATTAGGTTTCAACATTTGAATTTTGGTTGGAGGGGGCCCGCAAAATTCACCTGACAGGTGGCAGATTGGTGTTCTCTGGAGAGAACATGCAATTTGCCTTCAAGTTCTGCTTCTGTTAACTGCTAGTAATAACTTGAGTCAAGTTACTTAGAGTCATTAGTTTGGATTTCCCCAAGAACCAGGCCCTGAGACAGAGATTTGCATGCATGATATTTACTGGGGGAGTGGGGGCAGACCCTGGGCATTCACGCCTATGTTGGAGTAAGGAAAGTAGAGCTACAAAGAGGCAAAAGATGAACTCTGTGGTGAAGTCGCAGCAGAAGATTCAGGTGATCCCACAATGAACTATGAAGCTGGGATAGGATGGTTCTTCAGGGATGTCCTGAATCCAGGCAAGGGAATTAAGTTTTGTGCCCTTTTACTGGCAAATCGGTAGATGTGAGCTGCTTCAGGGAGGGTGCCTGAAATTGGGCAAGGCAACCATCTTTGGCAGAGGGCAACTCCTGGAAAGAGAAATAAACTGAGATCCATTAGCAGCCTCCCATTCTGGCTGGGGGAAGGAGAGCTCTGACCCTAAGGGGAATCTGGGTGGCACGTCACAACATCCACTAAGTCTCTCTCAGTTTTTGTTTTATTTTCTTATCTGTAAATTGAAAATAAGATCAGAATTGTATAAAAATAAAAATATTTTTAAAAAATTTATTTAAAAATAAATTCGGATTTTAAAAATATTTTAAAGGACCATGTTGATGACAATGACACAGTTGAGTAATAGGATTTTTGATATTACAGGGAATATGCATGAATTTAGTGCTTCTACCATGAATCCTTTATGCCATTAAAACTTATGTGTACAAATGTAGTAATATTTGCTTTATATAGGAATACATTTTCTGAGTAGCTGGACTTTCTGAGATAACATTTTCATGAGCTGGAAAGTGAGATACTCTGGAATAATTTCTGAATGTCAAAGCATGCATCATGTTTAACTTTTTCCATGGATGTGCCTTCCTGTGGCCTTTCCTATGTGACTGTAAATCATATTTATCACCTCTTGTTTTTCTTCTCTAGAGGCTGTTGTCATGAATTATTAGATCATAGTCCCATGTTTGCAGATAAGGAATTTACCCAGTGCTCACAGGTAATTATTCTTTTGTTTTTTTACACATACTGTCTTGCTGATAAGTCTAAAATTGCTAGGCCAGGAATTTCTTGGGGGAAAAGAAAGAATTTCATGATCAAATAAGTTTTGAGCAACAGCTAGTGAACCAGTTTATTTACTGCAGGACTTCTTGGAGCCTTTATTAAGCTAATATACATTGTGATCTCTAGGCGTAAAACTATGTGCAATTCAAGAATGCAGTCTTTTTTTTCCCCCAATGACTAAAATGCTACAAATCCGACTTTGATAGGTCTTCAGTAAAATTGAATAGTGATTATAGAGCTTAAATGTATCTCAAAGTTTCTACTCTTATTCCGTTAACCCACTTTTATATTATCGATGTGCAAACAAAGGCACATCCGAGAGTTCAGTACAGTCAGGTAATTCTGTTTCCAGTAAATAATTTCTGGAGAAACATATCTTGCATCCTAGACAGAACACCACCCAGTATTCAGCCTGATGAAACTGTCAGTCCAGTCATCACCTCTCAGTTCAGGCAAATCATACTCCCATGTGGTTCCTGGGCCATATGGAAAGAACAATTTCACCATCAATTTATTTTTTTGCTTCTCTCAACACATGAGCAAAAATTTAAATTTTTATTTCAAGATGTGAATTGTAAAAAATATATATATATTCGAATTAGGGCCTAATCAATTCTAGTTTCTTGAAAAAAACACATGGCTGGTAGTAAGCCAGGACCTAGTCACAAGGATCAGACATGGTGTGGGCAAGGCCTGGCATTAAGACCTTTTGAGTGAATGAGGGATGAGGGAAAGAAGCAAACTTGGAAGGGAAAGCGGAGCAATGAGAAAGGAAGGCAGGTACAGTTTGATTTTTGGCTATCAGAAAAGCGAGCATAGATGCCTGCATTAACAACTCCTATTCCTTATTTGCTGATTAGAATACTTGACTTACTTCTCTTAGATCATCTGATGTTGATATTAAAGTCTGGCACCATTAAGTGCGCACTGCACAATCATGGTGTATTCTCAGGTTAGGAGAGAGAATAAGAGACATAATACTTTTTTGGTTTATAATTCATTCAATGAGTCATGGATGGTTGTCCTTGTACAAAGATGACATACTGGAGAGAATACTGCACAAGGAGTGAAACCTGAGTTGAAGCCTTGCCTTTGTCATGGATTGACTAATCTCCTGAACATCTCTCTGAACCTAGGTTTTCTCCTTGGTTCCAGGTGAAGTCTGAGCTGAATGAGGTATTTTCCAGACATTCAAGATTTCTTTGCCTCTGTATAATTCTTATGTTATTAAATATTGATCTACTCTCCCATTTCTTGTAGGATCAAGGCCAAAGTTCTTCAACTGTTATTCAAGATCTTCTAGCTCCTGGTTTCACTCTTCCTTTCCAGCCTCAGGTTTTAAATGACACCTCTGCTTTCTTGTCTTTTTTTCAGATGCAAATCACATGAAAAGCCAACGCAAAGTGTCCCCCCTCTTCTGAAGTTCTCCCTGACCACCTTTCTTGGAAACTATCTCTACCCCTCTAATGTTGATGGCCATTGGTGTGTCTTTGGCTCTACCCACTTACTGTAGAGTACTATTAGGTTTCTTTCCCATGTAAATGTTTAGCTTCACAAATATACTAATCTACTGCTATAATCCATGAAAATGAAGAGAAAATTATGGAAATGGTAATAAAGAGAACATAGTGGAAATTTGTTAACTAATGTCTCGTGATTGAGTGATGTTTTGATAATTTCCAATTGTTTCTAGTCATAGTGATAAATTCCTCCACAAGTTCTAACTTAGACCAATGCATCAACAATGAATTCATTTATTAAATAGATTTTCTATGAATCAAGAATGAGGCTTGTGACTATGGAATAGTGAGAGGTCACCCAGCTCCTGTGCATCTCTTTAGACTCCTTCTCTTGACACTAGGTTATTATCCTTATGATCCTAAATGTTCTGTCCATTCTCATATTCATCAGTGCTTCATGCACATAATATCATTCATGCCTTACAATCACCCTCTGGAGGAGGAACTATTTGTAGCTTAGGAAATTGAGTCAAAAATCAATTAAGAGGCCTGGTCACACAGCTAGCACATGGAAGAGTCAAACTGGAACTAGGACTTCCTGAGTTCAGGGTCAAAGTTCTTACCTGGCGTGATCAGAAAGAATACACAATATGTAAGTTTGATAAAGTACAGTTCATACCCAATATGCTATAGAAGGTTACTTAGAATGTTCTCATCTGTAGAATTTCTTTTCAGTATCTGACTGAACTAAAGGAGAACGCCTTGTCTCATTGGTTCACTTGGGGCAGGGAGTGAGTTAAAACATGGGAAAGCATGGATCTCTACTTCAAAAACCCGATAGAAATCATGGTGGAAATGCTGACAACTTCAGGCAAAGAGAATTGGCATGGAAAGGACTAGCATTAGTGATGGTAGGACTAAACCTGTAAGCTACTGGTTTTAGAAGATGCAATATTATGGAGGGTGAACCAACATAATGGTGCCCTACTGTAAATGGATCAGCCAAATAAACAGCAATGACCATCAGTGTGACCTTAGACACATTACCTAAACCTTTATTTTCTTCCTCTTTGAAATGAATAGAAAAGAACATGCTTCACAGGTTTGTTGGGAGGATTGAATGATACAATTCTTATTTTGAACACATGATTTCTGAAGGTTTATTATGTATCAGGCATATTTTTGATATGGGATTTAACACAGAACAAATTAGACAAAAATTCTTCTCCCAGAGATTATCCAGAAGAAATGAACAATAAATAAAATAAATAAGGACCTTACAGTATGTTAAACAGTGATTAACACTAGGGAGATAATTAAGCAAGGAATAGAGGTAGACTAGGAAGGGTCAGAGGAAGTCTTCCTGAGGAGATCACACCGAGGAAAATCTAGAAGATAGAAGGGAATAGGCCATGTAATTAGGCAAGAAAAGGGTAAATATGAGGGTACCAAGGCAGAAATGTGCCCGAGGAAGAGAAAAAAGGCTGAGCATAGTGGAGAAAAGAAAAGAGCAGTAGCAGATGAAGTTAGAATTGGTAAGGCCACATAGGTCACCGTGAGGACTTAATTCACTCTGAGTGTGGTGTGCAGCCTTTGGAAGGTTCTGAGCAGAGCAGTGACTTAAGTTTGATCTAACTTAAGTTTGAACAACATGACTTTGACTGCTACATTGAAAATCGAATGAAGGAAAAAAGAAGGAAGCAGGGAGAGCATTAGGAGATTATTGCAATGATCCCAGCCAGAAATAGCAATGGTTTGGACCATATTGATAACTGTGGAGATGCTATATGTTGTAACATTGTGGATGTAGTTTGAAGATGAAACTGACAGAATTTGATGACAAACAAGTGGTAAAGAAAAGAGTCAAAGACTGATGCCAAGGTTCTGAGATTGTTCAAATAGAGACATAGAGTTTCCATTAACCAAGTTGAAAAAATCATTTTTGTTTGTGTGTATATGCATACAGGGATCAAGGGTTGGCTATTACTCATGTGACATTTGAGATGCCCATTAGATTTCCAAGCAGAGATATCAAATAGGCAGTTGGATACACAGGTTGAGTTCAGGGAGAAATGTGAGCTGAAGAATAAATTGAGAGTCATTAGTATTTAAGTGTTATTTAAAGCCATGATACTGATTAAGATCATCAGAGGAGAGAGAGACAAGAGAGAAGAGAAGAGTTTCAAAGCATTAGGACATTTCAGCTTTTCAAGAGGCTGAGAAAGGTAGTCGTGATGTGTGAGGAAGATCAGGAGAGTGTAGGGTCCTGGAAAACAAATGGTGATTTCAGAAAGACAGGAGTGATAATGGAGTCATAAGCAGCTTCCATGTCAAATAAGATGAGGACTAAGCATTCATCATTGGATTTAGTAATGTGGAGAGTATTGAGACTTTGACTAGTATAGTTTGTTGAAGTGGAAGAGATCAGATTCTGACTGCAGTGGATTCAACAGGACGGAGAAGACTTGGTGATGGAGAATATAGCCAACTCTTTCAAGGAACTTTGCTATAGTATGAGTCAAAGGAGTGAGGTGGTAGTTGTTGGGGAAAATAGGAGTCAAGAAAGGTCCTCCTTTCCCCTCTTCCCCTCTTCCCCTCTTCCCTTCTTTTTCCTTCCTTCTCCCTCCTTCCTCCTTCCCACCCTCCTCCCTCCTTCTCTTCCTCCTCCTCCTCCCTTCCTCCCTCCCTTCCTCCTCCTCCTCCCTCCCTCCCTCCCTCCTTCCCTTCTCCTTCCTTCCTTCCTTCCTTCCTTCCTTCCTTCCTTCCTTCCTTCCTTCCTTCCTTCCTTCCTTCCTTCTTTCCATTGGTGTTGATAATGATGCATTCCAACAGAGAAAGTTGACAATGCAGAATATGAGAAGGGAAAAAATCTGGAGCAAGAAGGATGTGATTTAAAGCTCAAACGGAGAAGTCACCTTTGATAGGAGCATGAACAGATAGTTCATTTGGAAGAAACGGCAGAGTGTATGGGCACAGATGCTGGCCAATAGGACACTGGTTGAGGAAACATGTAGATGTTATTTCCTAATTTTTCCCATTTTTCTCAGTGAAATTATAAGCAAAAGACATCAGCCAACAATGAGGAAGGAATAATACATGTTAGATTTTCAGATAGAGGTAGATGGACTAAGGAAATGTATGTTGATGCCAGACAGACTTAAGGGCTAACATAAGATTAATGATCCTGAGTTTAAGTTATTATGTATCAGTTACTGTCGTTAAATTGGCACCATGTAACAACAACCAGAGTCCCAGCGGCATACCACAATGAACATTCTCTTTATCATGTTGCAGGTTGTCTTGGGGTTGGCCAGTCTCTACTGGGGTGAGCTGGACAGCTCTGCTTCAAGCCACAAGTCCAGCTGGACTTTATTCCTCACTGCTGATTGTACTTGGGTCAGCAAATATGTAAGGGAAGTTTTCTCAAGGAAATGCAGAAGTGAAAGGGACCTAGGTCCAAAGCTAGCACACTGACATTTCTGCCTACATTCTTCTAGCCAAAGCAAGTCACATGGCCAAGCTTTCCATAACAGATCAGAGGTATATGCTTGCTCCATTGGGTGGTAACACAAAGTCCTATGGCAAAGGGCATAGATCTAAAATTCAAAAAAAAGGCAGTCATAAATATTACAGTGATGCAGTCACCCACACATTATAACCCACATGGCTGTTTGTTTTTCTCCAGCTTTACTCAGGTGTGTGAGTATAGCTGAGAAGTAAAAAGAGAAGAATGCACACAAAGCACACTGTGTCTAGCACATACTCACCAGTAAAAATGTCATTTACCCTCCACTTTTTTTTCTTTGAGATGGAGTTTTGCTCTTGTTACCCAGGCTGGAGTGCAATGGTGCAATCTGGGCTCACTGCAACCTCCACCCTCCCAGGTTCAAGCAATTCTCCTTCCTCAGCCTCCCAAGCAGCTGGGATTACAGGTGTGTGCTGCCACACCCAGCTAATTTTTGTATTTTTAGTAGATATGGAGTTTCACCATGTTGGCCAGGCTAGTCTTAAACTCCTGACCTCAGGTGATCCTCTTGCCTCAGTGTCCCAAAGTGCTGGGATTGCAGGCGTGAGCCACTGCACCTGGCCTCTACTTTCAATATCATAAACAAAAGAAGAAGAGTGACACATGACTGATAAATAAATAGTTTGCATTGATTGAGCACTCATTCCATGCCAGGCATGGAGTATTTTATATCAGTAAATGTTTGCTCTGTCTTACCCCAAGCCATACACAAGTTGTAGAGAAATAAATTTAAGAGTCATCAAGAGACACAGAATGGAATATTTGTATAATGAGTTGAGACCTTGCTATGTTCCCAGTGTTTCAAACGCACCTCTAAAGCTGTTAAGGTTGATGGCCAGCAGTTTGCTTGTCATTGGCATTCTACAAAAATTTTATTGGTGTTAATGTCAAAGGGATAAGCTGGGGTAACAGACCATGGGTCTAAACCAAGGGACAGTTTGTTCGAAGAGATGCCATGTGTACAGCATCTGTTATGGGGCACAAAGTAGGTACATAATAGCTGCCATCTCCCACATGCCTTAGAGATGTGGTTTCCATATTTTCAATACTGATTTTATATCCTTTTCTCAAAGAGATACTTGTTTAGAAACATTTTAATCAGAAAACCACAGTTATTAGGTAATAATTATTTTGTTGCAATTGTATATCACTGCTTTTCCATTTGACCATAATAATGATGCTGATGATAACCATAAAATAATAGTTAACATTTATTGCTCAATAATGTCCATATAGCAGGTACTGTTCTAAGTATTGTGGACATTATGAAATTTAATCTTTACAAGAAGCCTATAAGTCATGCACTATTATCATCCCCACTTTCAGGTGAGGATATTGAGGCACAGAGAGATTAAGTAGCTTGCTAAAAGTCACACAGCTAGTTTATACAGCTAAATACAAGATTTTTATAAGACTGTTAAATATTTATAGCAGCTCTGGAAC